ACTTTGTCTTTTCTGAAGTTATGTGTCATACAAGCAAATGCAAACTTGATGTGGCCAGAGCTCCAGATTGTACCCAAATGGACTGTAGGAAAGAAAAATCCTTCAATGTTTCATCTTTCAACAAATTCTATTCAAGTAAGTATATCTATGTGTAATTGGGCACACACTCTCACACACACACAAGGACCAATGAATAGTTTTTAACATTTTAAAGATAACAGATGTGAAAAACTGATTCAGAGTTTACATAGTAATACAAGAAATATTACAGAAAAGTATCTAAATAAATGTCACAGATTTCAGAAGACAGACATGCAGCTAATTAGGAGGATCACAGAAAGCTTTTAAGAGAAGATAAGATGTAAAATTGATCTGTAAAAGCTACACAGGAATTGATTAAGAAAGAAAAAGGGAGAAGAAATTCCTGGCAGAAGGAACAGCCTCAGCAAAGGTACTTAGCACTAAGATGTGGGGCATGTTCTGAAGTAATTTAAAAAAAACAATATATCTAACTCCAGCAAGATTGGCCTTTATCAAAACACCCAAAGCAACAAACCCTGGTGAGGATGTGGAGAGATAGAAACACCGTTACACTGCTGGTGGGACTGCAAATTAGTGCAACCTCTGCGGAAAAGAATTTGGAGATACCTCAAAGAGCTACAAGTAGAACTACCAGCAATAGCACTATTAGGCGTCTACCCAAAGGAACAAAAGTCTTTCTATAATAAAGACATCTGCACTCTAATGTTTATGGAAGCACAATTCACTATTGCAAGGATATGGAAACAACTCAAATGCCCATCAATCCATGAGTGGATTAATAAAATATGGTGTATGTATACAATGGAATATTACTCAATTATAAAAAATGATGGTGATCTAGCTCCTCTTATATTTTTCTGGTTAGAACTTGAGCCCATCCTCCAAAGTGAGGTATCACAAGAATGGAAGAATAGGCTCCCTGTACTCGCCATCGAACTGGCACTGACTGCTCAACACCAAGTGCTCACATGGTAGTAATATTCTTTGGGGGTAGGGGGTTGAGGGTGGGTAAACTCACAACTATCGGAAGAGGTGAGTGTTGTAGGGAGAAGGGCATGTCTCAAATCATGGTTGGGATGTGGCAAAATCATAACATGTTACCAAAATGTTTGTACCCCCATAATTTCCTGAAATAAAAAAATACAAATATTATGTCATTTATTTCCAGTGGTATCAAATCTGAAATCATTCTATAAATAGTAATAAAATAACAAATGTGACATAATTAATTTTAACACAAATATGACTGGAAATGGAAATAACATGGACATCTAGTAATAAAAGATGTAAAAAACATATTTTGACTTCAATATAAATTTGCCTTGTCTGGTTCAGTAAGTTTGATAGTCACTAGACTATATTTCTACAGAGGGATTCTGCATAATTTAATAAATCTCTCATAATGGACAAATTGAACAAAATACAAGAGACATCTAAAGTATAATATTTTTGCTTACATAGTATGTCTAAATATTATAAAGCTATGGATAGATTGGTGCCATAAATTATCCTTGTTCACAAACAATATACGTATGCAAATCACTTTTCAAGTATATTAATTCAAGTAATTCTCGCAGTACCCCTTTGAAGCAGGTATGGTTGTTTTTCATTATAATGGTGATGATTATCCTCATCATCATTCTCATGATTATCACTATTTTATCATTGAATAAATTGTTGCTCAGAAAAGTATAATAAATTTTTCAAGTTCATATATTTAATGAATATGAACTCTAGCCCAAATTTTTACATAACAAATTTTATACTATACGATGTAATGCATTCTAACAATTCACTACAATTTAATAGAATAAAGATTGGTGAAATAAAAATGAAGATTCTATCTATGGAGTAGTTGCTTTTCAATGTAATTGTAATCTAGTTTTGTCTGAATAAAGTTGTATATGGCAAAAAGGGCAGAAATTCAGGAGACAGGAAACCAAATCAATGCTGAAGATGAAATCTTTCAAATTTTCTAAATGTAGGAAACTAAAAATTGCTTAACATTACTGATACATCTACAAATAAGTCAGAGGATGAAAGCTACTATTTATTTATCTCTATTAGGTTATTTATTTGCTTTTCAGAGCAAGCTTATTTTATTATCCAGGCCATAATCTGCATACAATGAGGGGTAGCTGTGTTATTTTATTTAATTGCATAGCCCCAGTGTTAGCAGTGATAATCATGTAGTAAGTGTCCAGTTTGATTAATAACATTTATATGTTTCTTTGTATTTGCTTAATAAAGTTAATGATGGTGAAATTAATATACAGAAATTTTAGCATATTTTCCCCAGGTTTCACAGATAACCAGAAGTTGGAGATCACATAAATAATAAAGTTTTGTGAGTCCAAAACATAAAACTAAACTTAGAAAGACACAGAAAACTTAGAATAGCCAATGGGGGAGATAAAGAGAAACACTTGATCACAAAAAGAGATTAAATGAGTTTATAGTTTTATATTGCCTTTTTGACTTTTTTTCCAAAGTATTAAGGGGGTACAAATGTTACATAAGTTGTCCATCACCCAAACTGTTCATTATACACGTTAAGTACATTTTCCCCATTCCCTCCCTCCCTCCTCCCCACTGCTCAATTTCCATTGAGTTTTACTTGCCTCTGTGCACATGTGTGCTCATTGGTAAGTTCCAATTTAATAGTGAGTACATGTGGTGTTTGTTTTTCCATTCTTCAGATACTTCACATAGGATAATGGTCTCCAGTTCCATCCAAATTGTTGCAAAAAGCATTAATCCATCTTTCTTCATGGCTGAGTAGTACTCTATGGTGTACATATACCACCTTTTGTTAATCCACTTATGAACTGATGGGCACTTGGGTTGATTCCACATCTTTGCAATTGTGAATTGTGCTGAAATAAACATTTAAGCATAGGTGAGGTGTTTATGAATAAAATGACTTCTTTTCCTTTGGATAGACACTCGGTACTAGGATTATTGAATTGAATGGCCTATCTACTTTAAGTTCTTTGAGAAATCTGCATACTGTTTTCCATAAAGGTTTTTTTTATTTTTTTTATTCAATAATAAAGTTAGATATTTTGCCTAAATTTTGAGGAACTAGTTATTTACCAATCTCAAGACATGTCATTGTACTCTGTAAAAGGGATTTGCAGCAACAAATTATAAAAATAATTATATTAAAATTATAATAGCTAGAATATTTTAACTGATATTGTTAGTCTACATCATGTGGCAAATCATAGTTATAGATTAGGAAAAATATGTATTGATGTTAAAAACTAGTCGAGCACGAAGAATTGAGGATTTTATATACAGTTAGAAAGTTGAGTGGGAGAAAAATTATATTGTTCAGAAAGTATACCTGATTAGATATTGTGAGGAATCTTCTCACACCATATTAACTAAATAGTATAATACAGCTTTTGAGGTACTGCATGTCTCAAAATTATTAGGGATTTCTGTAAGTATTCCTCTCCTAAAAAATAATAAAAAATTAGATATAGATGTATATTTAAAATGTAAAATTATGTATACAATACAAATATATTTATGTATCATTTGTTATTTATGTATAACATGTGTATAATATATTCGTTATCCATTTATATACATTGTATATATTATATCCAGTATTTAAATATATAAATATAAAAACAATATATATATATACACACAACATCAAGGGGAGGATATAAAAAGTATCAATTTGCATGCATCTAATAATGTAGCTTCAAACTATGTGAAGAAAAATAAAAACTTGTCAGAATTAAAAGAAAAATAATCAAATCTGCAAATATAATTGTAGATATCAACACATAGTTCAACAGTATTTAACGCAGCTGCTCACTCGCTTTTCCTTGGTAACACACTCCCCACTCTCCCTCTACTTCCCCTTCGTGCTCTAGCAGTTCCCGTCAGTCTGTTTAACCGCTTTCAGCTCAACTCTAAATGTTGATATACCCCAGGCTTTTCGGATCACCTTTTCTTCATATCTGCAATCACTCTCTTGGTACTTTCCTCTTAGTCTCAAAGCCTTAAATATCACCTATCAATCACCTATATGTTGATATTTCCCAAATTATTTTTTTCCTCTAACTTCTTTCCTAAGCTCTGAATTCATTTAGCCAATTTTGTGCTTGATATTTTCAATTGGATGCTTAAATAGAAACCTCAAATATGACATATTAAAACTGATCTTGTTTCCATGACGCCTCACACTCACACAGGAAAAACATTATCTGTCAAGTATTCTCCAGTTTGACAAATGACTCCACTATTCACACAGTTGCTAAGGCCTAGAATCTTTGTTTTATTGACTACTTTCATTATCCTGATATCATGTATATTCCCCTATAAAAACTTATTGACTCCAACTTTAAAATATCTTAAATAAAACAACATCTTAAAATTCCATCATTGTCGGCTACTCAAGCCTTCGTGTTCTTGACTGTAAAAGCTTCCAAAATAGTTTCCCTGCTCTGTTCTTCCCATTCCACAAACTTTATACTTTAGCTACAGAGCTACTAAAAGTTATTGAGAAAAACAATGAATTTAGACACAAATCTTCTACCTTACATAAAATTTAGCTCTTAATGCATCATAAGCCTAAACGTCAAGTGAAAAACTATAAAACTCTTAGAAGATAACATAAAAGAAAATGCAGTTGACTTTGGGCTTGGCAATGACTGTTTAGACACTTTACCAAAAGCACAATCTATGAAAGAAAAGATTGACAGCCAGACTTCATTAAAATTATAAACTTTTGCTCTGTGAAAGACACTCTTAAGTTTTAAGAGCCATTGTACTTTTGGGGATACAAGCCTTCATCAGATGTGTGTTTTGCAAATCTCCCAGACTCCTAGTCTATGGCTTGTCTTTTTATTCTCTTAACAATAAGAAAATAAACAACCCAGTTAAAAAACAGGCAAATATCTGAACAGATAACTCACCAAAGAAGATATACAGATGGTGTTACATAGAAAAAGATGCTCAACATCATATGTCGCTAGGGAATTGCAAATTAAAACAATAATTAGATATCACTACACACCTATTAAAATAGCTAAAATCCAAAATACTAACAATACCAAATGCTGGTGAGGATGTGGAGCAACAGGAACTCTCATTTACTACTGGTGGGAATACAAACTAGTATAGCCATTTATATATGTACATGGATGAATATAGCAACTTATTTATGGTTTCCAAAGCTTGGATGCAGCCAGGATGTCACTCAGGAGGTGAATGGATAAACAAACTTTACACTATACAATGTAATATTATTTAGTGATAAAAAGAAACTATCAAGCCAGGAAAAGTCATGGAGAAATCTTAAATGCATATTGCTAAATAAAAGACAATTTGAAAATACTGCATACCAAATGATTCCAATTATATGTAATTCTGAAAAAGCAAAACCTATAGATTAGTAATTGCCAGGAGTTTGTGGGAGGGTTGAACAGGGGGAGCACAGGGGATTTTTAGGGCAGTGAACCTATTCTGCATGGTACCGTACTGGTGGATACACGATACTAGACTTTTATCAAAACCCACAGAATGTACAGTGCAATACAAAGAGTCCACTCTAATCTAAACTATGAACTTAATTATTATGTATCAGTATTGGTTCATAAAATATACCACAACAATGCAAGATATTAATAATAGGAAAAATTGTGGAGTTGTAGGGTGAAGGCCATATGGGCCTCTGTACTTTCCACTCACTTTTTCCAAAGATCTAAAGTGCTCTAAATGATAAAGTCTATTCATTTTTTTAAAAGCCATTGAAATCATATACTCACCTGATTAAATATATCCAGTATGTTCTCAGACTTAGAATAATTTGTTACTAGAATTCAAAAGGGTCAGCACGGCCTCTCTCCTGGCTGCCTTTCAGCTGTCATTTTCTGCCTCCCCTTGAGCAGCACTGGTCTTTTTGCCTTTCTTAACCAAGTCAACCATGCCCGTCTTTAAGGGCTTTGCTTCTGCTACTTTTTCCACCTGGAATACTATTGCCTTGTTATTTGCATAACTTGCTTCTTTACCTCATTTATGCCTCTGCCAAATGCCATCTCATTGCAGAGAATTTCTTTGATTTAAAAGAGTGTCCAGTATCACTCTGTCCCCCTTTCTGTCTCATGCACCCTTTAAATATTTATATGCATATTATATTTTATATTAGTGTGTAATTATTGTCTGTTTCCCTTGCAAGTATTTATGTTTCATGAAAGAATGGGGCTTTGTTTTGTTCAGTGCTGTATGCCAACATCATAGAGTAATGTCTTTCATATAGTAGGTGCTTTCTAAATAATTGTAGGATGAACAATTGAAAGACACATATGCAGCCATTTTTAAATATTTTGAAAACTTCTATAAATATATAAAAGTTAGAAGTATAACAAATCCCTATTTCCTGATGACCAGGGCTTAAAGAATTGTCAACATTTTGAAGAGAGTCATTAAATATAGTATATCTATTATTTTAATGACAGTTCATTTTATCAAATTCCTTTAATGTGAGCAAATGGTCTGTAGAACAGACAAAAAAAGGTGGCAAATAAGCCCATACTGCATTAATATAACAAATCTATAAAAACAAAATAATTGAGTCACTATAAAACATATGAGTATATTAATATTAAAGAATTGTCTCCCGTGTCAACAACAAACATTGCAGACTAAACATATAGTTCAAAAATATTTTCCTGCCTTACTGCTCTTCATTTTACACATTTATTTTTTCAACCTCCTTCAGGGAAGTACTTTTATCTTCAGCCTTTTCAATTTCTCATATCTCTGTGCCTTCCTGTTCAAAGGCCTCCTGGAACCTGCATCTTTGGGACTGTATCTGCCTAAATAGTTCAACCTTCTGTCCTCAGTCTCTTTAGTTTATCTTATCAACTAAGTCTGTGCCTTACTGAAACCCTTTCATAATTGGTCAGAGGCTCTATCAGTTTTCTCCACTTCACGTTTTAAAGAATTTTCTCAGCTTCAAAATATTAATATAGTGCACAGAAAGAATATATAAGCTATTGTTTTTCTGCCTATGTGGTCATGGAAGTGTTTCCAGAATTAACTTGCCTAGAACAATGCCTTGTATTTGTTTACAAAAATTATGTGGAATGACTGTGTATTTTAGTCAGACATTCCTACCCATCCTTTAGGTATAATGCTAAGATTCAGAGATATCTTTGATAATCATCCACTTTAGTCAATAATGTTTACTGAATTTTCATTTTGTGCCAAGCATCATTCTAAGCAAGAGATATAATGGTGAACAGGGAAAATGAGGTTCTGGCTATATTACCTTACATTGCAGTGAACTAATACTAAGCAATTTGACTAGTTAGAATAATCAGCCCCATCAGCCTATCTTCTTACCTAACAAATTGGTCATACATTTCTTAGGATATTTTGTTTGGACATTCAAGTGACTAGGAATGAAGGGAAGGATAAGGGAAGCTTGCTCTTTCCTCTTCACATGTTTAAGTAACTGCTCTTTGTCATAGACAGCAAAGGAACGTGATTAGGAAATCCACATCAGACCAGTTTCTTTAGTCTAAAGCAAACCAATCAGACTGAGATTCAGGACTTCAGGATTCAGTTTAAAAAAACAGATAAACACCATAGAGGTTTTTGCCATTGCAATAGGCAAGAAAAAGAAACAAAACATATATACAGTGGAAAGGAAAAATGAATTTTTTAAAAAATTTACATATGACAAGATGGTGCTCATAGAGAAAACTAAAGAATCCATAAAAAACTATTAAAGCTAATATGTGAATTTAAAGAGGCCATAAATTATACATTATAGAAAAATTAATCACATTTCTGTGTATTAGACTATTGAAAATTAAATTTTAAATGCCAAAAACATGAAATAATTACAAAAAGATTGAATGAACTATGTGAAAGACCTATAAAAATAAAAACTACAAAATATTGCTACAAGAAAGAATTTCTAAAGCCCTAAATAAGTGGAGAAAAACTCCACATTTATGAATTATGAGACAAAATATTATTAAGTCTCCCAATACTTACATATAGATTCAATGCAATGTGAAGCATAATTTCAACAATATTTTTTGAGGAAGGAGAAATTGGAAATTGACAATCTGGATCTAAAATTGATATGAAAATGTAAAGGACTTAGACTAGCCAAACAATTCTTAAGAGAAGAACAGATTTGGAAAATTTTTATAACTTGATTTCAACTCATCATAAAAGAACAGTAATGAAGTATTGGTGTATAGACATATGCATCAATAAAACAAAATTAAGCATCTAGAAATAGAACCACATGTTTATGGTAAGCTGTTTTTTTGGCAATGATGCCAAGCAATTCAATGGTAAAAGGGCCAATGGCCTTTTTGAGAAATGTTTCTGGAACAACTGTATCTTTACATGGAAAAAATCAGCCTCAACCCTTACCTTGAACAGTACATGGATACTGTATTATTTCAAAGTGTATCATATGCCTAAATGTAAAAAATAAAACTGTGACATTCTTACAATGGTGGTTCTCAACAGAAACCAATTTTGACCTTCAGGGGTACTGACACTGTCTAGAGACAATCCCAACACAGAACATCTGGTTCAAAATCTCAATGATGCTGAGGGCAAGGAATGCTATTCTGGAAAAAAATGATAGAAAATATTTATATCTTAGGCAATGATTTTTTAGATATGATACACAGAATATGAATCATTATAAAAAATTATTATTGGACTTCATCAAAATCAAAAACCATAAAAGACAAACTAATTTTAATAAAAGAAGGCAGGTTTTGAAGGAGCTGTGTCATGTATGAGAGAGAACTTCTTGGGGTGATATACGTGTGTTCATATTAGGTGTCAGATTTATCAAAATTTTCATTTTTACATTTTAAGTGGGCATTTTTAATTTTGTTCCTTTATTGATACATTATTTTTGATATATTTATGGGATACATGTATTTGTTACATGTATAAGCACTGTATATTAATCTTAGTTTTATAATGGTAATCACATCTTAATTTACCTGTATTTATACTTATGTATCTCTCTAATGACAATCTCTTGCATCTTTACAGGTTTGGTTTTCCCCAATACTACTATGATTTCCAAATTATACTCTGATAAATATATCATATAGGATGTATTTTTAACTCTAGTCCCACTGTTAAAATTATGCATTCTAATTAAGAATGACTGCCCTTTTTCATCCTCCATATTGTTTTCATTTGGACAACATGAAACCATAGTTACAGTGACCCAAGCTCTGATAATGAGCCCCTTCTTTAGCAAAATTTGGAAATGAAATTCCAACCTTAGTCCAGCTGATCTAGCTAACATTGTTATTTGATGGTTTCATTTTTTTTTCCCTGAAATCTAAAAGCAAGCCTATTCCTCTTTTCTTTTTTCATTCAAATATCCCCAGTGGCTTTTTTTATTTGTAACTAAGCTGTCTGAACCACTACAGATAGAGTCAGTGGTATTATAGTAACCAGACTACTCAAAAGAGCAACATGCAGGAAATATTCAACTGGTTGTATTATGGCCTAGAGGAATGAAAATCAGTACACCCAGTGTGAAGGTCAAATTCATATATCTGGAATGATATTTGTAGTACCAGGAAATGTTTTTTTCTGGCATTTACATACTTTTCTGTATAAGAAGAATACTAGATTTCTTCTGTATAAACTTGTAAGTTACATATGACATGTATACATTTAACACATTCATGTTTTTGTTAACTCGTTTGCCTTTTTAATATATTTTAAGGTAAATTTGCCCTCATGGATCAATTGCCTCTGGGTACAATAAGAAACTCTGAGCATGAGTAAGTTTGGGAATTAGACTGTGATAATGTTCACAATAAACTTCATGAGATCTTACCTTAACTTTCTGATGTCATTCCTCTCCAAAAATATTTGTTTTATTCCAACCTCAATAGCAAGACCTCAGTAAAATCCCTATGGTTTTATGATAGGTAGTTGGAGTATATTTGCCTCTGATCTTATTTGTTCTCTAAACTATATACACTAATGCATAATATATGTGTAGTGTTAGGACTTACAGCAGAAATAAGTTGAGCTTGGCATAAATTTCCACACTGGAGATATTAGCAAGTAAGAAATATAAAGCATCAAAATAATTTTATAAAATTTCTAAACTATTAATTGAAATCACCCCTTATTCCCAAAATAGGCAGCTTAAAAACACAAAATATTGTATAACAAAATTGCATAAATTAGAAGTAGGTAGGAAAGAAAAAAGTGAGATTAAACATAGCTGAATAGGGGACAGATATAAATATCCATATTAGGAAGTCCTTTATACTTGCTATTGGAGGAATCTACAATTTGGACTGTGATTTCCAACTGTCGGCTAAAAAATGAAATTTTGATTAGATACATGATTCACATTGGCTTTACCTTAAATCCCAAACCATGTTTTTAAGGGAAAGCACAATTATTTCCAAATTCCAACACTAGAAAGCAACCTATTGAATGAATACAACAAAGAACATAGTCAAGAGTGTAATGTACAACATCCTCACATAAGCCCTCTTAATGCTCAATAGGAGGCTGTTTCTTAAGGTTTTCCTCAATGTCTTTGCAGCAAAGAACAATGCACAATTAGCAAGTATATGCTAGAGGCCAAAGTGGAATATATATCCCTCAAGGTTCTATAGAAACATTGAAAGATGGTTACTCTAAAGATATTAGGTGGTATTGACATTGAAAATGTGGTCCCTGATCAGCATGAACTCAGCATTCGTGTATTCCGTAATGCTCATGGAAGCTTATGAATCTTGTCTTAACTAACCATAAATGTGCATTTCCCTAGAAGCTTTGTGGGGCAATCAACAATAAGACTTGCTTAAAGTAAATATTCCAAAACAAATAAAGGAACTTAATACTGACTAGTACCAACCTTATGACTTAAAAATACCTAGAAATCACCTGACTTGGAGTAAGCACTTTAGTCTCTCCTGAAGGTGAGGGGACACAAGGGCAGGGATTCCGCGGGGTCTTTGGCCCTGCGGGAGCCTACATCTTCAGCACAGCTACTCAACTTAGTGACTGAAAAAGGGAAGCATCTGTCTTCCCGCACACACTACTGTAATTACAGACTGAGAGGGAACGTCCCTTTTAAAAATAATGTATACAACAAACATAATCTTGTGGATTCAATTTTAAGCAATTGGAAGAGACTAGAATAACAATGTGACTCTGTAACTAGATTTATCGAATCTAACCAATTTGTAATCTTATAAGCACTGAGGCCTAAGTATTTATAATTTTGTGACCATGGATGTCCTAAAAAATAGTTTTGCTAGGATGGAATTAAGGGTTATTTCTATTAATACTTGGCAATAGGAGTTTGATTATTTCATCTTTTATCATACTCATAAAAATTTTATTACTAATCTATAAGTTTGCTTGCCTTGCTAGTTTTTCAAATATTATTGGCTTTGTGTTTAAGTGAATTCAAAATCTATATATAATTGCCATATTTAGCTAATAATTTCTGTTGCTCTTATTTTTCTATTTTGTTAGTTATAAAACATAAATTAATATTCTTTACTAGTGATACATCTTATCACAGCAAGACCAATGAAAGCAGCCTACGAAATATTATCAATCTTTTTATTGCAAATCATATTATAAATACCATTAGATATGATACTGTTCTTACAAAAAGCCAATTCTAATATTTTCTGAACTACTAAAATACTTGAGTTTATAAAATTGAGCCATATATTTTATGATACATAGCATCACATATAGCAATATACCCATTATCTATAACAGGCCATTGAAAAGTCGCCTTACCTGTAATTAACAATAGTCTTTATTTATTCAGATATCAGCTTCCAGTCTTAATTACAAAAAAAAAGAGAGGAGAAAATAAAAGAGAAGAGAAAACAAATTACATGATAAAAGTTCTAAGATCAAAATACTATTCTTCTAGACTTGAGTTCAAGTAATATTTTAGACATAATTTAACTATATAGGCCAGGTGATTTAGTTAAGAGTTAGAGCTAGATTCTATGTCTTTATCTCCTAACCTATTATCTCTCTATTAAAATTTTCTGTAAAATTTATGTATTGATCCATTCACTCATTCATTCATTTAGTCAGTCAATCAATTGTTTTCTCAAGTAATATATATTGGGTACTTTTTACTTTTTCCAGAAACTGTGCTGGAAACTTAATTGATAATTTATTGAGAATGCCAAATTTGTGATCAGGCAAACACAATATAAATGCTACAATAAACACAGGATTGTTAGAAGCAATTAGGGAGACATCTGATCTATTTTGGACAATGTCCTGGATAATGATATTTTTACTCTGATATAAAAACTGGGAAGCGTGTGAAATAGGAGCATCTGTGCATGCTTCTTGAGGGTAAGAGCTAGGCAGGGAGAAGCTGGGAAGCTGAAGACATTGTAGGCAGAGAAACACACGGCAATTTTGGAATGAGAGAAGTACAGTACTGTCGGTGTAGAGGTGGACTTAAGAGGGGAATAATGAGCGATACGTCTGAAAAAATAAATACAGATCTGTTGTTTTCAAACCTTTATATTCTGTATGCCTTAAAGTAATTTTGAAAAGCTATTCACATCTCATATTTTTTAGAATGACATCTAAATCTTTTAATCAAATTGAAAAAAATAAAAAGCAAAAATTGTCCAGTGTATATAAATAACGATATTTTGAAATAAAATGATTACATCACTCTTTTAAAAGTACATAATGGAATCTAAATACCGGAGTGAATTATCCATGATTATCTATTTTAAAAATGCATGGGGAAAGATCTTTTTATTGGAAGTTATATATCATGGTTTCCCTTAAAGTTAGTTATGTTTTAATTTTACTTTCTTCACAGATTTTCTATTTAATGTAACAGTTTTTGTGCTTCAAACGCTTCTACTGATTATCTATCACACTTTTCTGAAACAAAATATGTGATGATTGAAATTATTTTAAAATTGTTTCAGTGACTAAATATGAAACAAATCTTCTGGATTGATGTATTATACTACTAATTGTCATGCAGTTTATTAAAACACTAAATATTTTATTGAATTTTTTAAAAGAAGTAAAATTTTATGAAAAGTTATTTTCATGCAATGAAGTTAACATTTATTTAATTAATTCATTTTCTCTGGATGAATATTATTGAATGCTAAAATGAGATATAGCACAGCATCAATTCTGTGAGTCGATTAATAAAATTTCACACAGGGGCATTTTGCATATCTCAATTTATTCCAAAAATAATGTGATTAAATTAAGACTTTGTTAAATTTTAATACATCTTTACTACCACAATGATTGTTGATAAAATGCTCTAATATTATGTGCTTTAAATACCTTTTTGTTAACAACTTTGGAGCTGCGTACTAAGCTCTTTCGATTTACATGTAATGTCTAACGCACAACTTAATTAAGAAAGTCCTGTTTTTAAATGAATTTTTCAAATCAGGTTTGGAAGAACTTAATTTTTCAGTTCAGACATACATGTTACATGTTTTGTGGAATATTATAAAAGCCAGTGAAAAATAAATTATAGAACGCCTTTTAAAAGATCTGTTGCTGAAATCAATCTAGTTAAGATTAAAACAATATAGTTATACTAGTATTAATTCATTTGTTTTTATAAGACCCATAACAATATTTATCCAATATGCTGTTTTTTATTGCTTGTCTATAATAAAGCAATGTTATATACAGCTAAAATCGTAAGTTATTTACATAGTGAGTATTATGACAAAAAGCATAATATTCTTTTGGTGAAATGTTCATATATTGCATTTTGTATATGACTTTTTAACAAAAGTTAAAGCTTGTATAAAATTCATAATTTTATGAATGCCATGATGCAGCATAACTAACTTTAATAAAGCAGAAATGTGTGGACTTTGTAAGGCAAAGTATCCAGCATCTAATGCACAAATGTATTTTTGGCATTAGGTCTAAGAAAATATTCATCATTTTAGTAAATATAATAAAATGATAATTAACTAATGCTGGAATAAGACTTCATGATATGGTAGATAAAACATGAGTTTAGTTAATTTTGTTTGTGAGGTTTCAGTAAGTAAAAAGAGGCTCTCCAAGTACCATCAAAATGAAGACATTCCTACAGGAATCAGGCCTTTCATGAACGTGGTAGGAGTTTGGAGAGTGGAATTCTGGAAAGAGAGAGGCAGAAGCTCAGAGAAACTGTCACTAACCAGCTGTCGCCAGTGCTGATGTGGGCGACGAGGTCCACCTTGCTGGAAAAGCCACGACCCCGAGGTGTTGGCCCGCCAGGGAGAGGGACGGCGAGCGGCCCGCGGAGCTGCCCGAGCTGCCCCTGCGCGGACGCCCCGGCTCACGCCCCGGCCGGCAGGCCCTCCGCGCAGGCGCAGAGCAGAGGGGGGCAAGGGCAAGCTGGGGTTCCAGGCGCCGTTTTGTCACCTTGCCTAACTGACAACCTTGCAAGAGTAGTGGTGCAGCCTTGCTTCAGCCTCCAGCACCCGCAGCTGGCCTGCTCGTCATTCCAGCCCTGAGCACACTAGGGCCTTGCCCCGCTCTCCCGTGGCGCCACGCGCTCAGCACGCTGGCTGCTCGGGAGACGCACGCCGAGTTGACAAGGACATGTGCGACGTTTCTACCTGTGGTTATTTTCCACTGTTAACTTGAAAATTTTGGTGGCTCCTGAAAACATTTCAGCTATTTTGAAATATGTCAATGGCATAGCATGTATTTCTTCATCCATTTAAGATTACTTCCCAGCTAAAGGCGTATTTAGGAGCGTGAATATGTCCAAAATGAATCGCATACTTATGAGTAGATGGAAAAATGCCATTTCTTTTCATTTAATATTTTTGAAGCAAACACTCCTTTTGCTTTACCTCAGTCTCCCCCATAAGGTCTCTGCCTTTCTTGAAAGTCAGTGGATGAACTATGTGTGCTCTCTAAAGCAAAATTCCCATCACTGTCGCTACCCATGAACTCCATGCAAGTTCATATGGATTTCGAGCAGCCGAGCAAGTGTGAAAGCAGCTCGTTTCTAAAGTTGCTCCTCGTGTGTAAGAGCAACGTGTTTCAGATAAGAAGAGGCAGTAAGACCTCTGACGGTCTAAATCTTCCATTTTTAGATGTCTCTAGTATTTTGCATAACTAATGAACACGCGATGATAGGATTCTGGGTGAATGAATTGTATGCATTATTTTTTCCTTATAGAGTGGAGAAAGAGAGATTATGAAATGAAAACTGGGAAAGAAAAATGTATATGAAGTTAGGAGAAACATATAGAATTTGAGGGTTAGGAAATGTATTACTTTAAAACAATTAATTTTCAAACCTTTCTCTTGAGGTACACCCTAAAATAATTTTGAGAAACTGCACATCTCATGCATTTTTAGATTGCTATCCAAAGCTTTTAATAAAATTTTTAAAAATACAAAGCAAAAATTTTCCAGTCTATATAAATAATATTTTTAAGTAAAATGGTTACATCACTCCCTTAAAAAGTATCTAATGGAATCTAAATAACAGAGTGAATTAACCAAGATCATCTATTTTAAAAATACATAAGCAAGCTCTAGATCTTCTTATGGAAAATTATATATTATTCTTTTTCTTTAACTGCTTAAAGTACTTTTTAATTTTACTTCCTTCACAGATTTCCTGTTGAATGTAACAGTTTTTGAGCTGAAACACTTCTACTGATCATCACTTCTCTGAAACAAAATAAGTTACAATGGAAAATTGTACTGTGCCATGTGGTAGAGAATGGGGAACAGAATGCGTGGGAAAATGTGAAAGTCAGAGAGAACTGATACATTTGGTGATGAAAACCTATTTAAGGGAATGAAAGTCTGAATACAGTTGGAGAACAGTGCAGAAGTGGTAGTAAACTGAGAGATCAAGAAAAATAGGAGAGGTGGATCAAGATGGCGGACAAGAAACACCGCCAGACAGAGTGTCTCTGCAGAAAAGACAGATTCTAGCAGAAATTAGAAAAAAAAAGCAAGTGACGAGCATACACTGGACAAGGGCCGGAAGGAGGGGTACCTGAGACCCGGGGAGACTCTATAGGAGGAGGCTGCGGAGGAGAACTGGAAGCAGAGACCACCAGAGCAGCCCGGAGACCAGTGGCAAGGGTAGGTGAATTTGCCGTTTCCCCTCCCCTGCATCTGGGACTGCTGGTGGGTTCCTCAGCCAGTGGAGAGACCTGCGGACACCAGCCCAGAGACGGCCGCCGCCAGCTAGCGGTGAGCCTGTAGCGGACACAGCACCAGGCTCTCAAATCCTCGGGGTACCTCTGTGTGCACAGACCCAAGCCACGCGGAAGGCACCATATTGCCTCCTCCTCCCCTCCCTGACCCTACCGGCAGCTGCCCAGAGAGACAATATAGACACCAGCCGGAGGCACCTCCAGGGAATGGGATCTTCCCTTTTGGGACCCTACAGCTGACTAAGGGGAACTCAGACTGTGAGATCCCTA